GCCACCGACCTATTCTACATAACACCACCACCATGGGGGCTGGGGCCAAGGAGAGAGTGATGTGAGAGTGTGTTAATGTTATTTCCCTTATTGGGGGGGACAGGGGTATAGACATCATTTTTTCTTAAGTAAGGGATTAAAAAAGAAACAAAAAGTGGAAAAAACTGCAAACAACTTAGGGTGACAGAATAGTTCAAATATATCAATAATACCAATAATTATAATAAGGCAAACAGACAAGATTTACAAGTTAAAACATGAAGATTGACACACTGGATTAAACAACAAAATCCAGGCATACAGTGTTTACAAGAAACATAATATGCACACACAAAGGCTGAAAGTAAAGGAAAGAGATTTATCAGGCAAATACTAACCAAAATAAAGCTGACACAGTTTTATTATTAGCAGATAAATTTTTCTTTGAGAAAAACTTTAATAGGGATAAGAGGATAACTATATAACAGAAGACTTAATTCACCAAGAAAGTATATAAATTTAAACATACATCTATTGTTTATAGTTCTCTCTTTCTGTGTAACAAATTACTCTTAAATTTAGAGGCTTAGACAACACATACTTATCATCTCAGTTAGTGGGAGCTAGGAATATGCGCATGGCTTAGCAGGGTCCTCTGCTTCAGTCTCCTGTCACGGCTGTGGTCTCATTGGAAGGTCTGGGGAAGATCCTCGTCCAACCTTACTTACATAGTTGGCAGGAATCAGTTTTTTCAGGCTGTTGGTCAAGGGCCTTTCTCAGTTCCTTGCCACATGGGACTTTCCATAGGGCAGCTTATAGCATGGCAGCTGGATTCCCTCAAAGCAAGCCATCCAAGAGCCAGAGAGGGAGTACAAGACAGATGTCACAGTCTTTTTGAAAGTGACATCACTTTTGCCATATTCTAATAATTAGAAGGAGTCATAAAGTCCAGCCCTCACTCAAAGCAGAGAGGATTACACAGGGCATGAATACGCGGAAGAAAGGAACAACAGAGTCAGTCTAAAAGGCTGCCTAGGGAGTTCCCTGGCAGTCTAGTGGTTAGGATTTGGCGCTTTCACTGGTGTGGCCTGGGTTCAATCCCTGGTCAGGGAACTGAGATCCTGCAAGCCGAGGTGCAGCCAAAAAAAATGCTGCCTACCATATCCACCCATCCATCCATTCATCCACCCACCAATCCATCCATGCCTCAAAATATTTGAGGCAAAAGGGACAGAATTATCAAGAAATTAATAAATCTACCATCACACAGGGAGATTTTTAGCATACTTTTCTCAATAATTGATAGATGAAGCAGACAAAATAGCAAAGGTAAAGAAATCTGAATAACATAATGAATAACCTTGGCCTTAATGGAGATAGCATTCTGCATGCAAAATTAGAGACTATACATTTTAATCAAACATATGTGGAAAATTTACATATGGAAAGTTATCATGTACCAGATCTTAAAGACTGAACAAATTTCAAACAGGTATAATATAAGCCATGATCTTGGTGTATAACAACGCGTTAGAATTTAATTACAAAAAGATAAATTTAAAAACGTTGCAAATTTAGAAATTAAAAAAAAACCCACACACTGCTTAACAATTCAAGGATCAAAGATTAAAATACTTAAAAATTGAATAACAATGAAAACACTACCTATTGAAACTTGTATGATGCAACAAAAGTAGCACTTCAAAGGAAAGTCATTGCTTTAAAATTTTACATTGGCAAAGTAAAAAGAAGAAAAATTATATGAGCTATGTACCTATTTTAAGAGGCTAGAAAGGAGAATAAATCCTTAGACAATAGAAGGAAAAAGATAATGATAAGATAATGATAATGGTATACCAGCTGTCTTTTGGTTAAATGTCCTTTTCTGTCTCTCAACTTTCCATTTTTCCTGGGTCCTTATGCCTTAGGTGAACAGCAAGTAGCTGTGTTTTTAAAAATTTGACAATCTGTCTTTTTAGTAGTCAAGTCTATCAACCTTAGCAATTGATATATACAGACTAAACTCTACCATCTTTTTATTTCTCTTTGGTTTTCTTTCTCTATGATTCATTCTCATTTTCTCTCTGTATTTTTTGGTTTGTTTTCTCTTATTCCATTTCTTGTCTCTCCTCTCTTGGAGTTTCCACTCTCTTTCTATTCTTTTAGTCAGTTCCAACTCTCTCCTCCTGACTTACATAATATTACTATCTGACATTTCCAGGAGTCTTTTTTTTTTTTAACTACACAAATAAGACACTGAAATTATTTCATACCGACAACATTGACTTGGGTCAAGGTCCACATTTACCATTTCATTTGTTCAATATTCTTTGTTACATTTCAGAATACTAGTCTTCCAGGATCATTTTCCTTTTACTTGAAGTACATTCTTTAGAATTCCTTTAGAGGAGGGTTTCTCAAACTCAGTGCTGTGAAATTTCAGACAATGTAATTATTTGTTGTGGGGGATTGTCCAGTGCATTTTAGGATGTTTAAGGGCATCCTTGGCCTCTAGTCACTAGATGCCAGTAGCATCTCCAATAGTGACAATCAAAAATGTCTCCAAACATTTCCAAACATCCCTTGGGGGACAAAATTGTCCCTAGTTGAAAACCAAGAGTTTAGAGCAAGTCTCATGGTAAAAAGCGTTGTTGGCTTTTACTTAACTACGATTGTCTGTATTTCCCCCTTAATCCCAAGTGTCTTGCTAAACACAATTCTAAGATAATAAAATTTTTGCAAATACTTTAAGGCATTATTTGTTTTGTTATCTGTTTGTTGAGAATTCTATCATTCTGTTGTTCCTTTGATGATCTGTTTTTTCTCTCTGCTGCTTTCAAGATCTTTTCTTAGGTGTCCTGCAGCTTCATTAAGATACGTCTAGGTGTAGTTTTCTTTTTGTTCACAAACACCCTTCACCTGTTTCTAATCTACTATTTAACTCCTTATTTTTTTATTTTATTTTTTTTGCGGTACGTGGGCCTCTCACTGTTGTGGCCTCTCCCACTGCGGAGCACAGGCTCCGGATGCGCAGGCTCAGCAGCCATGGCTCACGGGCCTAGCCACTCCGTGGCATGTGGGATCTTCCTGGACCGGGGCTCGAACCCGTGTCCCCTGCATTAGCAGGTGGATTCTTAACCACTGTGCCACCAGGGAAGCCCTTCTTCTTTTTTTTTTTTTTTTTTTTTTTTTTTTTTTTTTTTTTTTTTTTTTTTTTTTTTTTTTTTTTTTTAATGTAACCATAC